GATATTTTTTTTTCTAAAGAAGCGCTTTTTCGAGTACTGTTTTTCCATACTTTCCGATTTCTTCCCACTCGCAAAAATATTCATAACTTTGAGCCAGGCACAAAATTATAAAAAAGGTCTTGTTTCAAGTAGGTTGCAACAATTGTATTATGCAAACACTGTCCGTCCGACCTTAATCGACCTTGCGGCTCTCGTTTTGTATTGAAGTCAATTACCTTCCTCTAAATGTATGGCGTAATTGGGTTATTTTTTCATTATTAAATAAATAATTTAAAATTACCTTTACCTACTTTTTGCACTTTCGATCATTTTAAAGCGAACATTTCAAAACCACAGAGATAGGCCGAACTCTATCTTGTAGAAAATTTTATGACGAACAAATTTATTAGTATACGTATTGTTGCTCTAAAATGCATACTTTCCGAGTTATATGTGATTGTTTCCGGAAAAAAACGCGATTTTCGCATTTTTTTTAACTTTTTCGCTGTTTATGCAAATAGCACACCCTTTCAAGCTGGCGCCCCTTGATATTTTCAATAGGTGTACAGTTATATAACCACTTCGAAGTCTGTGTCGAAAAATCGATCTACAGTAAAAATCTTTCTCTGAAAGTTTTTGAGAATTCGATCGTGCAGTGAAGTTCTGCGTGAACCGAGTGAAACCAGTGACCAACACGTCTGTCTCCACAGTTCAGAAAGGATCCCTCAACAACCGAGCTACAACTTCTAGCAGTCTACTTAGACTCCTAGCAGACGCATCGCCGTTTGGTTGTCCAAAAGCGAAGCAGCTAGTAAGGACATATTGGCCTAACGCTAGTGTCCACTACGTACGAAGTCGCACCCGGACAGTTCATCTTTCCGCAGCGTCATCGTTCGATACAGGATAAAAATTGGAAAAATTGTAACTGATTCATCCTATAATCATACAGCCTGTTAATTAAGAAGAATTTTTAAAACAAACAAGTTTCTCAGAACCAAGATTGCATTAAATTGAATTTTTAATTGCATTTTTTTTATTGAAATTTTTTGAATTGAATGAAAAAGTTTAGAATATCGAACGAATATCGAATTAGAAACGTAGGTTATCAATCGCTAGCAACGCTTGTAACGCTTCTAGTAGTGACCTAGATCAATCGCAATCGTTTCCAGATATTTCTGAAAACATCTCTAGTCTATTTGAACCAACTTCAAATACTAACATAATCAAAATAGCCGGCGCTTTAAGGTCTACAGTCTCACCCTTGAAAACTTATGATGGTACTCCATCTCGCCTCGAGTTTTTTCTCAATCAAATTGATATTTCTTACAACAGATATTTTTCAACCGATCAATCCCAACAGGAATATGTTCTGCTTGCGATAAAGTCAACAATTTTAGAACAAGCCGAACATTTTCTGTTAACCAGACCATATCTGTTAACATGGGAAAAAATTTAAATTGTTCTTTGCCAAAAATTGAGCGACTCGCTTACCAGGTCAAATTTGCAGCAACCATTAACATTCTTGTCTCGAAAAAGCGAATCAACTCAAGAATATTGTACCGTGGATGGCCGGGTATCAAACTCTTACTTCAAATTCCAACTTTTATTCAACTCGGTCTAACTTTAAATACGGAACAGGAACAAACTAACTTCAAAATTACAGTCAATTTTACAAACAATAACAATAACAAATGGAAAACTCGGTCTTTCGACTCGCGGGGTTTAACCTCTTCTACACCGGGTCGCTGCTGTCACTTCACTGACTCTCTGTGGTTCTCGTCGCCGCCTATATAGTTTCCTCCAGGTAACTACACGAAATTTTCCGCTTGTCAGTGTCATATTTGACAGTAAATGGGGCGCAAAGGGGGCTCCCATTTACTAAAATACCATGAATTTAGATCCCCCCATTCGACACGTGAGTACTCCGGGCCATTTCCGTCACACTGCCCCCCTTCTAAACCCTGATCGCCCCAATTAGGTAACTCCTGGATCATCGTTATATCTGGCCAAACGGTGATGGTGGATATCGTTAAATTTTGCCTGAGGACCTTCAACTGCCGGATTCGGTGATTTGGAGGTGGACGAAGCCACACAAGATTCCTCAATGCTTGCCAACAAAGGCGTTTCTTCCCCCCACCAACTTAGCACTATTTGCCGACGATACTTGCTTTTATTATTCCATCCGGAATCTTAAATACGTAATTGGCCCTCTCCAACGGCACTTAAACATTTTTAAAGAGTGGGCTGACACCTGAAAAATCAAAATTAATTCAGAAAAAACCAAAGCCATGATAATTTCGAAACAAAGACCTCCCACTAACACACCCAAACTAATGCTCAACAACACCGAAATCCCACTTTCTAAATCTCTCAAATATCTTGGCATTACCATCGACTCTAAACTTAACTTGATCGAGCACATTAACAAAATAATCACCAAAGGAAGCCAAACAGCCGGCATCCTTTACCCTCTTCTAAACCAGAAAAGTAAGCTCACTCTGAAAAACAAAACTCTGCTCTACAAGCAAGTAATCAGGTCGCAAATATGCTATGCTGCCCCCATCATTATCCAAACCTCCAAAAAAACCATAGGCAAACTCCAAATCTTCCAAAACAAAATCGACCGCAGGATGACAAGACCCCCCTGGTACGTCCGTAACTCACAAATTCACGCGAACCTTCAAATCGAAACTGTGCAACAGTTCGTCTCAAAGCTCCATGAAAAGTTCAAAACTCGCGTCCTTAACCACCCAAACCCACTTATTAAGACACGTTTTCCCAAACTATCCCAATCCCACGCTACCTAACCTAAACTCTCTAACTCTTCCAAATTTAAAACTTAAAACCAACCGCCACAAACCACTAGTTTTCTCGCTCCGTTCCCCTACTTTTTTTTTTTTTCGTTCGCTCTCAGTCCCACAAACTCCCAAAACCCACACCCCTAACCCACCAAGGCTTTTGCAGACTACCAGCAAAGACAAAAAGCCTTAAATGGCTATGTCTGCGTTAAACATCAAGTCACAGACGAGAAGGAGTGAAGTGACAGCAGCGACCGGGTGCAGAAGAGGTTAAACTCCGCGAGTCCGAAGAGCGAGTTTTCCGTTTGTTATTGTTATTGTTTGTGAAGTTGACGGTAATTTTGAAGTTAGTTTGTTCCTGTTCCACATTTAAAGTTATATCGAGGTGAATAAAAATTGGAAGCTGAAGAAAGAGTTTAATACCCGGCCATCCACGGTACAATATAATAACAATTACACGCAGTCAGGAAAATAAATTTAAAAAAACTTGCTTATATGGTAGGTAGTGTGTTTTATACTACTTTCAGTAGTGGTCATAGGTTTCAATAAATAGGGCTTCCTTTATAGTGAAAGTTAGTTCATACCTGAATTTCTAATTGTGGTCCGTTCAATTGATCCCTAGCTAAAAGTGCATCTGCAGATATCTTAGCTCTTTCTTGTTCCATAGCTAGTATAATGCTAATAATTCCTAAAACATATTGTCATTAAAAAATTTAATGGTTTTCTTCTTATTGTAGTTTTTATCAAAAAACTAATTACGTAACAAATCCAAAACATCATGATTTTTGTATCCTTAGGAATGACTCGGCCATTCAGTTACTCAGTTTACAGTTCAACATAACTTTAGTGTTCAAACTAAATACATATTTTCCGTATACTATAACTCTGGTAGTACGTCATCAATCGTCCATCGCGCGTTGTCGCCATACCCGCCATTAATTCTCGCTTTATCTCTCAGCATTATTAAATTATCTCAATGCCTCGCTTTTGCTGATTATTATTCCGATAAATCTACTATCGATTCGGCAGTATTGTACTTTTCACCAACCTAATAATTTTAAAGATGAACATAAATAATCAACATCGCCTTAAATTAGGCAGTTTTCTAATGCTCTTTCGCATTTTATGATGGCTTGATGCTTCTCCAATGCCCAAAACACAACAAAAAAGATTCGATTTCTCACACAAATTTCATGCATAATTGTTTTTATGTTGGTCCTTGGTTTATGTCGAACCTTCAAATCGAAACCGTGCAACAATTCGTCTCAAAGCTCCACGAAAAGTTCAAAACTCGCGTTCTTAACCACCCAAACCCACTAATTAAAGACACGTTTTTCCAAACTATCCCGAACCAACGCTACCTAACCCCGACAAGTCTAATGGCAGACCCTCTCCTGAAATTACCCGCCTTAAGCAGGTGATTCCCAACATCTCAAACCTCCTGGAAAACACCTAAACTCACAAACTCTTTCAAATTAAAAATCAGACGCCACAAACCAACCTTCTCGTTCTTTTTCTTACTTTTTTTCTCTTTTATTTTTTATTCTTTCTTTCGTTCGTATACTACTCTCTTCGCTCTTAGTCCCACAAACTCCCGAAACCCACACCCTTAACCCACCAAAGCTCTTGCAGGCTTGCAGTAAGAACGAAAAGCCTTGAATGACTATGTCTGTTAAAAAGTCACAGAAATTAGTCCTAAGTTAGTAGTTAAGACAGTAACAGCTCGATGTTGAAAAATCTATTTTTGGGTTGCCAAATAAATGTTTTTTGAAAACCAAGTTTTTACATCCAGAAACAAAATTATACCATTCCCGAGCGATTCCAATAGTTATCTAAGTTACGTCACGTTAGAACAATATTTGAAAGAATTCGTCGTAATTCGCCTGGCCTAAATTTGTTTTATATTTTTTTCTGTACCCGTAAAACACCTCTAGACAAGTCCAGGTTGAATCACCCGTAAGGGAATTAGTTATGCTGACGACACGAATTTATAGAGAAGAAGTTTAAGGCGGTTTTAAAAAGAAGTAAAAGTTTAAGGCGGTTTTAAAGTGCAGAAACGAGTACTGGGGGTAATTAGAAAACGTATTTTCGCGAATCATATGGAAATATTTTTAATCATTTGAATAAGAATAGTATTTGCACTATACAGGGTGACAATTTGAATCTGAGAACTATATTCGATCAGACAGGATTTATATTAGTAAATAATACACTATATTCATATTTCCTTTAAATAATTTCTTTATTATATTTCGAACATAACGTTTATAATTCTTTTATCATCCTATCATACACATCAATCGGTTAATACTGTAACGTTTAAAAATTATTTCAAAATGATCACACGTATGTAGTAGTTAAAAAGGGTCACTGGTAAGTTCGATGTCAAACCTCAAAAAGTATTTGAGCCAAGAAATATGTCTTCGAATTAGGTTGTGATTTGATGGACACATAAACTTCCTAACAATATATTTCTCGCCATTAATTAATGCCCGATAGAAAGGGCTGTTTATAATTTTCTTATGGGCAGGATTTGTAGATATTTCCTTTTCCATCTTGTAATTGCTCTTACAAACTGTGAATAATATATTTGAATCTAGCAAGTTACTTTTAACATCGACCACCACGTTATGATCGTCTAACATTCCTTCTATATTATTATTTAATCTCTCGAAAAGCGTATACAGAATAAATCTCCTTTGAAGCCAAAAGTTTTCATGCATATAAAATCGTCTGTCTTCTTCTTCATTTATAAGCTCTAACCAGAAGACGCATACCCAAACGATAAATTTACATGAAAAAATGCCAATTCGATAATTTCCAAACTGCTCCCAAAATCTCGCAATATTTGAGGATTTATACATTACTCGTCTGGAAACAATATCTAGCCCTAACAAAATTTCTGTAGATCTATGAATAGGATCTATGCGACGAAAATAATAAAAGTTTTTGACAAAGTTGATTAAAAATTGTTTGTAATGATAGACACTGCTCAATACAACATGCCGATTCATACAATCATTAATGAATTGGAATTCCCTACATAACATCAGTTTTAAATTAATGTCATTTTCAAAAATGTATATGCAGCATTGTCGGTACGTCCAGCAGTGGTAATTGTCGGGAACAGACTCAAAAATTGTGCGACATAGCACCATTTCATAACAAAACGCCTCCCAGACACAGTTGGGCTCTAACTGCCGAAAAAAAATTGTTTCTTGTTCTAATGTCCATCTGCGAAAAGCAAAAGCGTCGGACGATTTGAAGCAGCTAAAGAGCACTATTTGGCTAAAAAAATAATTATATTAGGTCTAAAAAGGTTTCTAATCTAACACTAAGAACATTTATATTATTATTTACTTGTAGATTACTAAACAAGATCATCATATCTGAGAATTTCCAGATAACTCGAGATAAATTGGTTCAATTTCCATTAATGTATCAAATAAAACATAAACATGCTAGAAAATACTCATTGAGCCATAAGAAGTCATAACAGTAGCCTTTATTTAAACATCGTTCGTAAAATAGTTGACTCTAATTGTACAATGTTTTGTGCTCCGGTACAAATTGAGCAGGGCATAATTAACCGAATGCGAGAAGCTGCTCAATATGTTAGCCCAGTAATGAAAAAGGGCATTAACAAGTATGGAGTTAAACGTGCAGAACTTCGAACACCTCAAGTGAGTTGTCCACATTTTTAAACAATAACTAATTTATTTCAAACCCACAGATTCATATCTAAGAATTACCTTTCACCACCAATCACCGAAACGTTTTCTTATTAGTAGGTTACTAACTTTCTTCTTCGTCAATTACCGTGAGTTTAATTGTAAATAGATCAGTTATAAGTTTTTTTAGGAGATATTGTTAACATCGGTTGAATTAACTGGTTGCCCTAACCGAAACCACATGTACTTGCATAATGCTAATGAGGCAGATTGCTTTGAAAAACTTCTAGGAGACTTTCTGATCCAGTTTTTTGCAAATATTTCGGTATTTTATATTAATGATTTATTACTGTTGCAACATGACAAATTTCAGACAGAACAAAAATAAAAATCAACTTTTAATGAAAACTTTAATTAAGACCAGAATTTATAATCACAATGATTTGAAGTTAATGAAGATTTAAGATAACAATGACAACTCAATAGAGAGAAAAAAAGTTTCTCTTGAGCCGGTATTTCGGGCGGTCGTGTGCGAAGGCGAAGACCGGAGGGTGAGTTTGTTCCAGCGCCACTAACTTTCGCAGGAAAGCTAGAACACTCAGCGATGGAATGCTACCTAAATACCTACTTAATTCTTTTACCGTGATAGTACATAAACTGACTTGAATACTGATATAAAAAAAATGATAAATTTAATAACGAACAAGAAAACGTGGTTTGACAACCACAAACTACCGTCTGATAACCGTTTGATCTATACTCTACTTTAATTACTTAATTAAATGAACATTTCCTGAAAATACAAATTAATAATATGCAACCAGTAGCAATACTCGCCCCAAACACCAGCGAGTCTATGAAGTCTTTCGCTGGGTTACCCTGCTCGATCAAGTCATGGTCCCTTCCTTTCAATAACGGTGGTCCGCGACGGTGGGACAACCACCACGTTGCCAGACAAAACCATGATAAAAACTGCTGATGTTTGGGAGAGAGATACAAATATCCAAACATCAAAATTCAAATAATCCCCGAAATATTGTTAACTTAATCTGACAAACATGCTTACCAAATCCAAATTGCTAATGAAAACCGGTTGAAAACAATAGCTTATTACAATTATAACTTATAACTACATACATTTGAGAACTACGGGTTAGCAGACAGGTGAACCACTGGCTAAATTCCATTTTTAACCGTTACACTGTTTTGTCTGAAATCATTAAACATCCTCAAAGGAATGACGTCAATTTTGAATCGCCCGATATAATCATGACGTTTGAATATTTAGTATCTTTAGACGAAGAATCTTTAGTTTGGTCTTATTTCTATAGAAAAACTCACAAGCTACACAAAAATGTATCGACAAGCTGCAGAACCTAATTGCCACACGGTAAAATGATAATGCCGGATTTACACTACCAACTTTTTTACAATAAGTCACTAAATTTGCCAATTAATTCAAGGTAATCTTTTTTCTTTTTTGCCACAACGACTGTACACTTGTATATTATTATTGTCATAATGTGTGTGTGTATCGAAATAAGTGAACTGAATTGAGTTAGTCGCCTTGAAAAACCATAAGCAATTATTTATAAAATATTAATATCTTATATTATTTAACCTTCCAAGTTAATTCTTGAACTTGCTAGGAAGAAAACAAAACCCTCAATTTCAAAGGTTATGTTATGTATTTAAACTAGTTTAAGAACTTAATTCTCGGACTTGGCGGATTAAAGTTAAACGCGCTTAAGGTCAAAACTGCCGACAATACAAACCGTACTCATAGATAAAGACGAGTAGAGACCGTACTAGAGTCTAGGTCCCAACTCTGCAGCCCACCGTGTGAGGGAGTAGGATGAGGTAGTACCAAGAGAAAGTAAAATAAGAGAGGTGACGGTATAATGCTAAAACTTGGAACCGCGTTGCGCCACAACGGGCTGACCGTCAAAAACGGAAAGCTTTGACGGAAAAAACAGGTATCTATATTATCGGCTAGTTAGACGTGGGAATTTTAAACTTGAAAGGGTACAAAATACTCCGGGTACTATAAGTAAACAAATATAATATGATTGATAAATTACAGTATACAATAAAAATATGTATAACAAATAGGCAGATACTTACTATTTCCGGCACTGCAAACACTGATATTGATTCACTCACAGTCACACTTTTATGTTCAAAATCCCAGAAACAAATGAGTAACGTTTTGTTTTTGGTATTCGTATTTGTACTAATGTAGATTGCAAGCACAGCGCAAGTCGCACTTCATCCCTTTGTAGCTCTAAACAAGCATCCCGGACGACCGGGCGCACGGGCGGCATTTTGCAAGTCTCGACATGTGGTGTACACTTGTACTATTATCTATTGTTCTATTCAATTCTGTGTTTGAACAGAATCTCGCAAATTTTTGTACCTACCTAGTGAATGATGCTACCTGCCTACCTTGATAGCTAAATCCAAGCCAAAATTTTCGTTTATTATGAAAACCAGCAAATTTTTTGCCGACCCCCCCTTACAACTTGTGAACCCCTGTTTTCTTTTAACGTCTACGTGGACCCCCGTGTGGCCTCCTATGGACACCTGGACCACTTTGGGAACCTATACACTAGACACAAACGAAACACAGAGTTTTTCGTCTTTTCTTCTGCTTTTATTTCCCAACCTATCAAAAAATGTGGCGCCCTGTGTATCCATACGATAAACAGCAACGGTGTCGCTGAGTAAACACCTGGAAATCCACTGTGTTGCCCTGGACTAATATGGGCAATAGTATCGATCATTAAGCGACTAAACATTAAACGATCTTGAATTTACAATTGGTATATTTTTTCTGATCTCTTGTTCAATACCACTTAAATATGGAAACGCTTGGTTAAACTTATACCTTATAGCTTTCCGCTGGTTTTGGGTATGATCGTGCTTTTCTTCTCTATAGGTTCAACCAGAGTTGACCTAAAAAATAGTTCAGCGGATCACCTAATTCAATTATTAATTTTTTTTATTATTGTTATGTGTTTTGCATTTGATTGATTTTAATTAACGGTCCACCTAATTGGATCCCTAAGTTTTTGGTTTTTATTCATTGGCTACCTCTAGGTTCCCGACTAGCTATAATAATCACGAAAATTGTGGATTGGATGGCCAAAGGCAGTCTGAATGAAACTGGATTCTAAAAGCACGTGAAAAAGGGTCATTAGAACGAGGTTCCTTGTGATTTTTGAAGAAGGCGGGCCGGACTCTGCGCTAATGTTTGGGCAATCAATAGTCAGGTCAAATCATTAGGATTTTTTAATATGGTAATTAGATCGTACACAAACGGTTAACAGACGGCAATAGTGGTCGCCAAACCACCCTGTTCTTGTTTTATGGGTAAGTTTATGCATTATATCGGTCAAAACATTGAGTAGCTATTTCCGCAGCATTCTATCGCTAAGCGTTCCAAAAGCTAGGGCGCTTCAACGAACTCACCCTCCGGACTTTGCACGGGACCACCCGAAATATTTCTCAAGTGAGTAATAATTTTTTTCTTTTTCTCTTTTTTTAAATTTTTATAACTATATTATCATTGTAACATTTAAATTCATCAATAAAATATAATAAAAAATTATTAAATACCTTTTGTTTGAGGTTGGGTTCTATTATTCTCTAGTGAAATTTGTCGTGCAGCAACATACACTTGGGCGCATTTATATAAAATAGACGACCAACAAATATTGAGTATCCGAATCTATATTTGAATTTAATTTTTGTCTCACACGTAGGTTAAACTCCACAATAATTTATTGTCAAACGATACGATTCTTGAACAAATACTCTCTATTTTAAAAACATTTTCATGTGTTGTAATTGATACTAGGCATTCATATCTACATATCCAAATATGTACTTTTAAATCTTTGATGACGTGTCGTTTAAAAATGAATAATGATGGACTTTAACCAACGTCTTATTTATATTATACCTATTATTCTACCTTAATTTCCGCTCAACCGAAAAATCCCTCGAAGCCCGTACCAGGTTTCGTCTCATATTCCAAAATGTGGATACATAAGGATTGATTAAAATAGCAGTCATCAAACAACTATTTACGAGTTCTACGTCTTGCAAAGATATTGCGTTTCTTTCCAACTTTTTTCTGAATGGAAAAATTTTAGAGCATGCATATTGGTAGACAAATTCAACACTCCAAGCTTCAAGACCTAAGTGTCTGCCTTCGGCCAATACAACAGGACTCTTGTTGTAGATGCTTTCTTCCGTGATAATGGAAAACGTTAAGCTGAAACAAATTAGTGAATTTTTTTTTTCTTGACTGCATGTAATTGTTATTATATTTTTCTTTCCTGTGTTTCAGTCAAAATGTGAAATAAAAATATGTTTATATCGTTTTTATCGTTTATTTCATATTACGGTTCGGCGAGACAACAGCATCAGATTAAAATTTTTTTTTTTTTAAACAGTTACCCTTTGCGTCCAAATTAACGGCCCATTTATAAACTTGACGCTTGAGTTTGCGTTCACCGTTACCGTTTCACCGTCGAAATTCAAGTATTGGAATATCTATCATCTATTTATAAACACCGCGGGCCGTTACCGTTTGAGTTCCGTGCCACTCGATATGAACCAATTTAATTTCTTGCCGGTGAACGTTCGTAGAACAGCCGTAGTACTGACGTACCAACCAATTCGAATTCACTATTTGATCGGACCAAATCAGCTGATTCAAAACATTCAATAACAACAGGAAAGATCTTAAGTTAAAAATTCGACTGACAGCAAACGTAACGGCAAGTGTATAAATCGCCTCTTGTAGCGCAAACGGCAACGGTAACGGCAACGTCAAGTTTATAAATGGGCCTTCAAGCTCTTGTTGTGAATTGAGCGTGTAAACGACTCTTGAAGGCTACGCTTATCCACTTATACTCTCACCCGTAATAGCATAGGAATTTGAATCAATAGATTTTTTAGAGCCGTAGAAGGAATTATACTTTAATTCAATGAAATTGATTTGCAACCGTTTTCGGTATCCTAACTAAACAATTTTTTAATTAATATTTTTCATAATTAGTGTCGTGTGTGCTTTATCATTACAGGTTTAAGAGCTTCTGACATTTTTTTATCTAACCGTAAGTTTCTAATAGTCACTTTTTGCTAAACTTTACTTTAGAGGAAGACATAGAATCTAAGTATAGTATGAAAATTTAATAATGTAACTTTCTAATAAATATCCGCTAAACTGACTTGACATTTTACATTACTCTCCGGGTACTATTTTACTTTATTTTTTTACAATCTTATATTTCTGTTAACTACGGTATTTGAAATTTATTATTATGTATAGACATTAGGCCTACTGACCTTCCAAAATTCGTGCCGGATTCTTCTGCAATTCCGCCTTCACAGCATTTGACGAGCAAAGGCAACATCAAGTCCCAAAGTTCCTATTAAACATGCGAGTACCTAGTACTTTCATATTATTGATAATTGTTATTATACTGTTGGCTTGTGCCTTGAAACAGCTGATAGCTTAGAGTCCGCGCATGCGCATTAAAGGGGTCGTATTCCAACGTTTAGCGCCAGTCAATACCGACAATTTAGCAACGTCGGTACAATTTGAAGGGTGTAGACGTATGTAGGTATCTCTTAAAATTTTTGCTTCGGCTGCTGTTTACCCCATATCAATATGCTTAATTCGCGCTATTAGTGATGTAATGACATTAGATGTGTTGCGGTGGGTCAGGTTTTTAATCAAAACATTGAACCTTTTTCATCGGTATTTTTGGATTTTCCGATTTTGTGTGCCTCTAACGTGTTTGAGAATTGTTTAAAGACAATTTATTGGTGTGGTATATGGTTTGAAACATCTCAAATAGTTTAAGTAAGATCTTTACCATAGCTTCTCGGAAATATGTCGATTTTTTGTCATTTTTCGGTTATATTTGCAGCATCAAGAATATTTGGTGGTTCCCAATTGAAGGATTATGTTTTCGGGCAAAAAGTAAGAGATGCACAAACAAAACGTATATACAGGGTGATTCAAAATTGGCGTCATTCCTTTCAAGGTTTAGGTTAAGGTTAAGGCTTAGATAGGGGCCCACTTAGGTCCGTATTTATAAACGATGCTCAAGCATGAGTCGAGCCTCCAGTACGAGACTTGGCTTCGAATCCGTTTTATAAACCATTCTCATTCTCAAACCAGTTCTCACAGCTTTGCTTGCTCAAGTATCGGTCGACGTTGGCTTTAATGCCCGGCCACGGGCCGAGCTTTTTCATTGAACCGTCAAACGGTTTTTAAGGTTATAGTACTGTTTATGTTACTTTTTACATTTTAATTTTTTTATTTTACTATCGTATACAATATAAGACTGGACAAGCTTTTGAATATTTGGACATAATAGAGGAGGAAATAAACCAACGTGTTAATAAAATATATATACGAGATGGCAAAAATCCTTTTGAGTTTTTCTCGGATGTAGAATTTCGGAAAAGGTTTCGGTTTTCAAAGGCCACTATTATTGAGGTGATATTACCTTTTTAAACGAATCATTATTGAAAGCGGATAATCGCGGACTACCCATATCAAATATCACCCATTGCTCAATTGCAGCTATGTTTAAGATTCTATACAAGTAGCTTTGTATTCTAGAGATTCTATGCAACAAATAGCAATGTTTCTATGATTCCATGTCTACTTTCTTACATAAAGTATATATAATATTGTAGCTTGTGTCCGGTAATCTTCGTGATCTTCGCCAGTCTTTCAGCAATTCAAAAAACATATTTACATAATAACATTGACGCCATCTTAAATTCGCCAAGTTCGCTAATAGACCCAATATAAAATTACCAAATAAATACAAAAGTCTCTATACATCTATACTCGACCGATACTTCGCCGAGAATTCACGAAGTACTGTTTATAAATCGTCTCTCTCGGTTGAGAACGATCTCGTACTTGGTCAAGCATGAGCTGAGTATCGGCTTGAGTGTCGTTCATAAATACGGGCCTTAGAAAGTACAAGAAAAATATTGAAATTTTTTTTTCAAAAATTTCAGTAAGATATTAACACGAGCGTTTAAACAGAGGAAAGTGACCCTCCAATCAGAGCTTGTAATTTTATCACGTGACTTACAGCCAATCACACGTAGTTATTGTTGACGTTTGAGACAGCTGATGTTGCTGACAATGACTGTTCTGTTGCCATTTGCCCACACTCGTCTTTATCTATGTTTGTCCAGTTTGTATTTTACTATTTACTATATGTGTTAATATACATAATTTGTGTCTACTATAAAAGTTATAATGGGAAAAGTAAACATTATTTGTCACATCTGCGGAAAAGAGTTCACTTCCACAGTTAGCGTGTTTAAAAGACACCTTAAAAACAAACATTCGATTTGTGAAAATAATCCAACAAATGAAGAAGAAAGTGTAAAGAAGGACCTTGTACTTTTACATGTTCACATATAGCAAAACTCCGAAACCATTTAGATGTGAAACATGGCGTACCACAAGAAGTAGATGAAATGCATTTCAAAAACATATCAGGTATTACCTGCCTATTTAAAATGTGTTATTCAAAGTTTACTTATTGAGTTAAATAGCTGTAGGTAGAAATATTTATTACTCATATTTATATTAGTAATTGAAATGAATTTTTAATAGTTTTTAAAAAACGGAAAGCTGACGAGGAGAAGCAAACAGTTGGTTCATGGGTTAAAAATTCATCTACAAAAATAAATAAAATAGTACAGTACTGACGATAATAAAAGAAGCCCACAGACTACATATTACTACTGCAGCAGAAATGGTAAAAGAGAAATACTTCCTTACGATCAAAGAAAAAGAGCTTTAAAGTCTCAAGGTTGCAAACAATTTCGTTTCTTTTGTACATGGGTCATTATTTTAAAAAGCAATAATGATGAGTTTAAAGTAACTTATTATAAAAGTCATTATGGACATGACATTAAACTAGCTCATATGCCATTACCTTTAGAAGCTAAAAATATGATAGCAACTCAGTTAATTCACGGTGAATATACATACTTCAGTAAACATATTTTATTCACTACGTATGTTTGATATTTTATGGGTTTATTACTTGATATTTGTTGTAGGTGTTCCTCCCTCTCAAATTTTAAACAAAATCCGAGAAAGTGTTGATGCTTATTTTCAAAGATTACATCTTACTACCAAGTTAGATATACATAATATATTAAGAAGTTATAATTTGTATGATTCAGCTGTTCAAAGTAATAATGATGCTTTGAGTGTTGAAATATGGATAGAGCAGCAAACTAACAAAAATAATAATGTAGTATTATTATACAAAAAGCAAGGAGAGGTGCATCCAGAGTTTAAACAGTTACATCAGGATGATTTTGTTCTTGGGTTTATGACAAAATACCAAGTCTAAATGATGAAGAAATTTGGTGCTGAAGGGATTATTTGTATGGATGCTACTCATGGCACTAATCCATACGATTTTAAATTGATTACCATATTAGTGTTAGACGATTTTGGAGAAGGGTTTCCTCCTGTGGCTTGTTTATTTTCAAATAGAGAAGACTTTACAGTTTTGCAGCTTTTTATTAATGCAGTAAAAATGTTGCTGGTACAGTACCAGCTGCCACATTTATGTCAGATGATGCTGAACAATATTTCACTGCTTGGAGTGCGGTAATGGATGTTACGAAAACCAAGAAGTTATTGTGTATATGGCATGTGGATAGAGCTTGGAGGGCTAAGCTAAATCTTATGAAAGAAAAATCTAAACAAGTAGAAGTAGATACATATGAAAATATACATTAAAAAATGTACATACCTATTTGTTTATATATTTTAGGTGTATAAAATGTTGTGTATATTGAGGCAAGAATCCGGCATAGATGAATTTAAAAAACTTTTAGCATCTTTTAAG